ACGGGGGCTGGCAGAGCACCGGTACCAGGCAGTGGCCAATCTCCAGAAAAATCACCCCAGGCTGCCTTGCAAGTTGGTGTGCCAAGCATTGCCTGTGCCCCCTCTGGGGCCCCCGCCGTGCTGGAAGAGCTGCTGAGGGAGCTGCAGCTTCTGCGGAAAGGTACCCACCGGCCCCGGCAAGTGCTGGAAGGAAGGGGGGGCTGAGAGGGACCCGAGGGCAGGAGGAGGGGACAGCAGAGACGAGGCACAGCGGGGCTGTGCAGCCGAGCCAGGCGTTGTCTTATCTTGGGGCCACGAAAAGCCGAGGTTCCTTCCTAAAGTCAAGCTCTGGTCGGGTTTTTGGGTCAGGCATGGTGAAGGAGCAGGTGAAGACATGCAGGAAGGCCTGGGAAGGGTGTGAGGAAGAGGAGGAAAGTGGTGAAGGCAACCCACAGGCTGGGTCCCATTGTCACGTGCAAGCAGCCTTCCACTGTCGGACACGTGAAAACATCTCCGTTGAGCAGAGATCATGGCAGGAGCTGCAGCTCTACTACATTGTGAGTGCCCAGCCTGCTGCATCTTCCTGCCCATGGGGGCACCCACCCTGGTGCAGGGGCTCTTCCTCTAACCCAAGCCTTTCCCCATACCCAGCCTGAGAGGGATGGGATGTTCCACCGCGGCACAGGGCTGAACCTGACCAGCGGGCAGTACACGGCACCCATTGCGGGGTACTACACCTTTACCGCCACACTTCACATCGGTGAGCCCTCTGGCACCCCCCCCACCCCCCCCGGGAGATCCAAAACAGCTCTCACCCTACCCTCTGTCCCAGTGCGCAGAGAGCAGCGGAGGAAGGGGCAACCGTGCAGGGAGAATCGTCTGCGGGTGCTGATTTGTGTGCAGTCCCACTGCCAGCACAACAGGTGGGGCAGGGCAAAGCTAGGAGGGGGAGAGGGACCCTGAGCTAGGGAGGGAGGAAGGAGTCCAGTGTGCCTGGGGGAACAACACTCTCCCCAGCACCACCCTCCCTCTTCTGCAGCAATTTGGAGACCATATCCCAGCTGGAGAGTGGTGGTGACCTTTTCACCATCTCCGTCGCAGGAGTCCTTTACCTGCAGGTTAGTGGTGCCAGCTCTGCTTGGGACTGTACTGGGCAGAAAGTTGCCTTCCATGGCCCCAGCTCCAGGGCTGAGCACCAAGTCTGTTTCTCAGCCCAGCTCCGAGCCCAAAGGACACTCAAGGTTGAGGTCAGCTGGGACACTACAGCACATACCATGGCTGGGCTGCCCTACTGGCCTTTATGTCATCCTTTTCCCAGAAGGAAGTGGGGTGAGCAGCCCCTCCATCTCTCAGCTGCTGCACACAGGGGAGAGCTCTCTCCTTTGCTCTGCCAGGCTGTATCCAGAGGTATTCCAGCCCCATTAAGCCCTCTCTCCCTCCAGGCTGGGCAGTATGCCTCTGTTTTCGTGGACAACGCTGCAGGCTCTCCCCTCACCATTCAAAGCGGCTCTGATTTCAGCGCCATTCTGCTGGGGGTGTGAAAAGGTGCTGGGCACCATGCAAGAAGCTGAACCTGTGCCAGGCGTAGCTGGACCCTTCCCTCTGCCAGTCACCATCACACCTCCCCTGCTCAGCACCAAGCCTACGGAAGATCTTCTGCTGCTGCAGACTGGTCCAATACTGCTTGTGCTGCAAGAACCATCTGAAGCTGGACAAAAGATCAGGGAGGATGACAATAATAATAATAATAAAAGAAGCCTGACAAGGAGCTAAAGGAGTTCACTTTTATCTAAAGGGTAGAGTTGGAAGTTTATCTTGGAAAATGCTGCTGACAACAGCTGCAGCCAGCTGCTTTCTCTGCAGGGCTTAGCTCCCATCTTGCCAGATGCTGGTCCCCATTTTCACTGTCAGCAGATTTCCCTGCCCAGGTTCTCAGCAGGCTGAAACAGGTTGTTTGTATCACTTCAGCTTCCCTGCAATATATTAGCAGTGAGTGTTTGCTTGCAGAAACCAACGTCCTTTGCAGCTAACCTTCAAAGCAGAGCAATGTCCCGATAATGCCACACATTCAGTTAAAGCAAATTCCTGTCCTGTGGCTTTCCATGCCAAGCATTCCCTGCCCATGGCACAGGGCCCAGGCCACGGGCAGTGCAGATATGCTCCTTGCTTTGGTTCCGATAGCCATCTGAGCCAAGGATGGCACAGGGCTACATGCCTGAACAAGGGCTGCAGAAGAGGTACCTGGGCAGGCTGGGTGTGGGACAAGAGCCACATGTTTTATTTCTTAGTAGCACGTAGCACTGGGCAAGTTGTGCCAGCAACACCATGAGATAGCTCAAACTGCACCCAGCCCCACCTTCCCTGAGGGATCTCCGCATGTAGGTGGGGGGAGGCATCCTCATGCTGGACCTCACTCATGAGGGCTTTCTTGGCCCTGCCTGGCCTTCTCCACAGGTTGCATCTCCTCAAGGAGCCTGGTGAAGTAGCTGTTGCTGCAGCTCTTCATGGGTGTGGGTATTTGGATCCTGGAGGGGGCAGAGGGGGCAGCTCTGGCTGTGCAGTTTTAATGCTGACTTCCTCCCCAAGGCAAAGAAAACTTGTCTCTTGAAAGGAAAGATGTGCTTTTCCCCCAGCTGAATGGGTGAGCAGCATCCTGGCAGAGACAAGGCCTCTGTAGCTCCTGCCCAGCTGAGGAGCTCAGCCCAGGCAGCACCTCCCAGTTATCCTGTGTGACCATGAGCCAAGGCAGTCTCGCTCACATCAGCCACCTTCCCTTCTTACCAAACACGCCTGAGAAGATACAAAAGGATTCAGTGCTGGAGAACAGAGCTTACCAAGCTGGTAAGCTGTCCTCTGCGAGCAATGTATAAAGAGCCCAGTGCCCTTGAACACAAAATTGGAAGACTTGATTAAGTTGGAGATACTGGGGGGCTAATTTAGGTGTTGGCAGGAGGCTAGAAGCTTGGTCAGCCCTAAAGGAGGGTAGCTGCATATACAGCACTTCTGCATGGGCCATCCTGGGGTAGTGGTCCCAGAGCAGGGAGAGTTTATTTGCAGGAAACCTCTTGCAGACCCCACCCTACCAGGAAATACAAGCAAACTGTTTTTTTGACTTCCACTAAAGCTGGGGTTGAACTTGCCTTTCTAACTGGCTGGCTACTCACAAGCACGGTGAAACCTGCTCCACAGTGCTTCCTTTTCCCCTTTACCCTGAAAAATTTACCGTATGATCCATTAATGGAAATTGTTATTAACTGTACTGTAACACCGTGTATTATGTTCCTAGTTGGAGCTGTGCTTTCAGTACTCTTTCTAAAGTGAAGGAAAGAAGAGTTGTAAGAGGAGGGAGGGGGAGAGAAGACAGTCAGAGAAGGACAAGCTGATAGTTCTCTCACCAGCTCTTGTGCTGGAAAGAGGGATCTCCTAGAGACAGCACCAGGGAGATGGGTGCTTAGCTCGGTTCTTGCAGTGCAGTACACAGCTCTCCGCAGTGCAAGAGCTGTGAAAAGCAGGGAGGCAAGAAGGAAGGGCAAATTGCCCTTCTGAGATCTGCCATCAGGGTTTCTTTTGCCACAGACTGAACAGACTCCATGCTACTCTATCTTGGCTCTCCAAATTTGGCTTTCAAGAGCAGAAGCAGCAGAGCGTGTTGCTAACACGGGCAATTCCCTCTCAGCTCATCCTGCAATGCAACCTTACATCAGAGTATGCAGGAATAGCTGGGACCAGAACAAGGTAGCAGGGACAAGCGCTACCCAAAATATGTGCCAGAGGCCCACTTCCTTCCTCAGTGCTCTGCAGCAGATGTAAAGAGTTAGCATGAGCTAGGCCGAGTTAGCCTAACCATTAGCATAAGCCCATGAACTTTAACTGACTTCTGCTGTAGCAGAAGTAGATGAAAGACAAGTCAAGCCACCTGTCCCAAACAACAGGATAGTTTTTGTGTGCTCAAGAAAACAGATAGCCCAGGATCCAGGACCATCTCCCAAAGCTCCAGGGAACACAGGGAGCAGAAAAGAGCCCGGGAAGCCTCACAACCCTGCACAGGACTATGCACAAGCAGCACGCACCACCACACCAACCTGCCCAATCTCTCTCTGGGACTGCACTGTTTCTCATGCAGAGCAAGGAGGTTGCGCAAGAAACCACTGCACAGACCCACTGCCCACTGACTCATCTCCCTCACTGCACCACAGGAGGGGAAAGTTGCGTAATCTGAAATGTAAGTGCTTTGCCAGCCTAATGAGTTTAGCTTTCACACCGTCATTTGGTCTTAAGCCAGAGTTTCTCTGGAAAACAGCACACTGACTCTCTGCAGCAACAGCTGGTAGAGGAATGGGGATGGGATGAGATACCAGATACTTAATAGCAACAAGTACCTAGAACCCGAGATGCCTGCTCCTCAGATAGCACAGACAAGCACAAAGCTTGCCCTTATCTCTGCTGCCTGGCAGGTCCATTTGGTGAAAACAATTTCCCAGTGAACATCAGGAGCAAACTCCAGCCACTTTTGCCATATCAACAACTAAGATAAAACCTCAGTGTCTTCTGCAAGCAGAGGGAAGGTACACTGCTGCTCTGCACAGCAATGTTTGTATCACTCAGCTGCATGCAACCTCACAACCCAGCTTCAGAATCAAAATATTTCCTTCCTGGCACTAAGAAGACAGCCCGCACCACATCCCAAGCCGGTGGCCTGGGGTATGGCACAGCCCATATGGTACAGCCCAACCGGGAGCTCCCACCGAGTCCTAAGAGCTCAGGACCCTCCCAGGGCCTCATACAAAGCTCAAAGAAAAGAACAGCAGAACTGCACTGTTTGGAACAGCTGGCAGAGTTCATGCCCACAGATGCCTGCTCTTGCTAGCACCTCTGCCAAATGGGTTTATTTGGTTTGCCAAGACATTCACAGGGGGTTGACAGGACAAGAGATTTCCGCATAGGCTGATCCACTGTGGCAGCCGCTTAGAAAACACTGCTAGCCAAGTGAGCTAAAACTACTAGAAAAAAAAAACCGAAACAACTTTATTTACACTGAAGAGCATCCAGCAGGACCCTCCTTCCCCCAGCCACACATGCACACACACTGACTTCTCCCTTCCCTTACATCCGCTGCAAGCTGGGGATCCTGCTGCCGCACCTCATCTCTCAGTGCTCTATCCGGACCACCATGACCGTAACGTTGTCTGCTGACCCTCGCTGTACTGCCTTGTTGGCCAGTCTGTTACACGCAGCTTCATATCTAGCATCTGCTTCTAGCTTCCCTTCTCTTGTCTGGATGTTCTTATCCTGTTGGGACAAAGAAGGACAACACCGATTGCTCCCAGCAAAGTACGTACGTGCAAGCACATGGTAGTTTCCAAACATGGGGAAGCAAAACAATTAAGTACAACCTCAGGTATAAGGGAGGATACCCTGGCAGAAGTACATTTCTGCAAGTCAGAGTCATTCCATTTCGTGCCCCCTGCACTGACAAACCCAGCCCCCATGCTGCCTTCTCCTCACCTCCAGGCAGGACACAATGAAGTTCACAGCTTCTTCTGGTGTAAAGACTTTAAAGAGGCCATCACATGCTATCAGAATGAACCTGGAAATCAAGCAGAGACAGGTTTCAAGGCTGAATCTTTGGCTCCCCAGCTACAGCAAAACCTCTCCAAGCTGTTTTGTGAGTACCCATGCTCCAATCCAAAGGGAAGATGCCATAAAGCTCATCTGAAAATCCCTTGGAAGCACCAGAAGTCCCCCTGGTGCTCCAGAACCTACCATTCATGGAACTGAGGCAACTCAAAGTACAAGCCAAAGAGCCAGGCAAACAATGTTAAGACCTAGATCAGGACATCCTGGCAGTCCTACTGACACTGCACCGTTAGGCAAGATCATGCACCACACCCTGCTGGAAAGCTCCATTATTTCTCTAGGAACTGCTTCTTTCCTTTGAGTCCTTTTCATTCATGTAGTTTCCCTGTGAAGTAGCTAATGCAAGGAAATAGAGAAACACAGCCAGCTTAATACCTTATGTGCCTCTAAATTCTTGACGTTACCATACTCCTGAGGTATGCGATAACTTAATTTAAGTAGAAATATTCAAAAGAAAAGCAAGCAGCTTAACCCAGAAATAGAGGCATAACTGTGATTGGAAAACTGCCACAAGGTATTGCCACAGGCTGTAGAAGGTTGAGCGGATACAAAGCCCAAGGCACGGAGAGATGCCTCATAGCTCCCCACCAGAGGATGGGGGAGACAGCCTGCTGTGCACTCCCTGCCTGCACAGGGGATTGTATTAACCAGGAGCCCTAACCAGAGTCACCAGACAAGGAAACTACAACCATACCACAGAAGGTAGTCAGCATGCCAGAGCAGCGCATGTCTCTGAAGACATCATTTCAGAGCCTGATACTCAGAATATCTTTAGAAATATTTTAGTGGATCACTGGATATAGAACTCTAATCTCAGAAAAAGCAGTAGTACTGGGTTACATTCTCACCTCAGAGAGCCTGCAGGACCATACAGACATAAAAGCTCACAGCAGTTTGCCAATGC